CAGACGACGCTTGGTGGCGAGAAGATCCATAACGGATCATTGCTCACTTGATATTTGTATACTTGATTAGGACTTCTTATTAGGAGTAGACCCGAACGGGTAAACATAAATACAGAACAGAATTTCCACTCAAGCACACAGAGCGACGTCCGGCTTCAAGGTAAGCGTCTGGTCAAGCTTATTTGAGTGTGTTATGCCTGTCGGTGAGCTCGAAGCTCTGTAGCGATGGGTTCATCCGGCAAGGCCAAGAGACTGTGTATTTTGGCCGATTACTATCGGGAGGTTTTACGTGACGGCTTATTGTTGCCTATTTGCACGACTGGGATGCTTGTATTGCATCCCTTTTATTCTTCCAACCGAGTGTTGAACGCTCGGTGCCCTCGTAAAAGGCTTACCCGTGCCTGGTACCCTTCCGCTGTTGGGACCACGAGGATTCATAGCACCTACTTGTTTTGCTCGTGCTAGTAGCGTGCTCTCATTTTTACTTATTGACCTATATAAGTAGCTTACAAGGTCCAGTCTGTCCCGGTGCAAGGGCAGAACTGGGGTCTTCAGGTCCGCCTGAACGATCGTTTACTATCTGAGTAGACGTATTGTTGTGGGAACGTCCTAACTACATTTGTAGCTAGAGTTCACGTGGCAATTCCAACACCACAAGTGGTGCCGCGACCCGGGAACAGATTGGGACCATTGACCATTGTGAACTGTTGGTATGGCCTTCAAGTTTACGAGCTACAAAAAGAAGAAGAACAAGAAGAAAAAGAAAACAAGAAGCATGGCGAAAGGACAACCGACGGTACCAGCTACGCCTGCCAAGTCTGGCGAAGCTCACAACGAGAGTTCAAGTCCGGCTGCACGCTTTGCAGCCGCCACCGAGATTTCGGTGAGCTTTGACGACGAGGCGGACATCGGTCCTGATGCCCACGATTATGACGATTACGAAGACAAGACGCTGGCTTCAGAGCCAGGCGCAGCGACACCGGAGACGGCCACGCTATCAACAGGGCTGAGCGGGGCGACCA